AAATTGTTCCTCCTTATATGATTTTTTTCACACATTGAAAATTTATAGTATTTAAACCTTATATGCTACAATTTAAAGATCCTGTGACTTTGGGAATAGGGACTGTATTGACCTCTGAGAAAGTCTGATTAAATTGTTCCTCCTTATATGATTTTTTTCACACATTGAAAATTTATAGTATATAAACCTTATATGATACAATTTAGAGATCCTGTGACTTTGGGAATAGGGACTGTATTGACCTCTGAGAAAGTCTGATTAAATTGTTCCTCCTTATATGATTTTTTTCACACATTGAAAATTTATAGTATATAAACCTTATATGATACAATTTAAAGATCCTGTGACTTTGGGAATAGGGACTGTATTGACCTCTGAGAAAGTCTGATTAAATTATTCCTCCTTACATGATTTTTTTCACACATTGAAAATTTATAGTATTTAAACCTTATATGCTACAATTTAGAGATCCTGTGACTTTGGGAATAGGGACTGTAGTGGCCTCTGAGAAAGTCTGATTAAATTATTCCTCCTTACATGATTTTTTTTATTCAGTGCAGACACATTTAACCATTTTAATTTAATCAGATGTGGTTAATTATAAGGTAGCCTAGGTGCACACTTTTTACCCCTCTTTGATTTAACGTAGTATATCCAGGAGTGTGATATGTTTTCACGTGTATCAGTCTTTACAACCATTTCTTAACTTGGCTCAAGCATATTAAGTATTTGTAGGCAAAGCTTGAGCCCAAGTTGCCTAACTCTACTAGAGAAGCAACTCAATACACTCACAGATTGTAAGTCTAAAGATGTTGAATCAGGTAATTCAGCTTTGAACATAGACGAGTCCTGATACTGAATGTATAGCAGCTGAAACAGACAGTCCCATGTAAGAATATTGGTACATGGATGGATTGTAAGATGAAACAGTAGTGTAATGGATGAATGGTGTTCTCCATGATCACATATACTAGCCTAGTATTGTTTGTGTTGCATAGGTGCACAAATAGTGGGTGTTATGTACACACAACTTCAGTAATATGGTTCCTAGGATTCAACTGGCATAAGGCATCCATACCTGAAGATGTTTAGGATGCTGCAACAATCATAAATAATGTATTCAATTAACTGAACAATGGCTGGAGATGGAATGTAAACAGTAACTTTCTTGCAGGCAAATTACTGACAAAATTCAGTGTTATTTTCTTGGTAATTTTACAGGAAAAAACGACTACAATGTGCATAAATAAATTTGAAAAGTGAGTAAAATTCTCATCTTATAAAATCCTTGTCCTTTTACAAGATTTCCAAGTCTCAAAATAATTACCAAATCTATTTTAAGTTTGTCAGATAAGTGAGACAATTGTGAAGTTTCAGCACTCTTACATAAACTGTAATTATAACCTGTATTTTTAAAAACTAGATGCATAGCAAAATGAAGATATAATGCTGCTGCAATAAAGTATCACAAATAAACTGGATATCTCTTTTTGACTTATACAGCTTGGTTTTATTGTTACACAAACAACAGATAAAGAATGTCTGTTTTGGGATCGTCTTCTTGTTTTGCAGTTTTAGGTGACTATTTTACTAAACCGAGTATATGGAAGTCTGGAGTACTCACTGTTATATAAACAAAACACGTTTTGGCTATCGTTAATACTACATAAGAATATTCATTAGTTCTTAAAACTTCCAACTGAAAGCTCAAGAAAAGTGGTGAGGTCAAAAGGGTTTTTCCAATTTTGTAACCACATTCAACTTTCATTGATTCACTGTCATTCACTTCAAGTGAAATGTTTATTATCCTTTTCTTCTTTAAATGAAAATAATTTATTCATCTCTTGGTGGATCAAAATAACCTATTAGAAAATCGCTTTAAATAATTATGGCCTAACTAATTTGCACTTAGTAAAACTACTGACACACAAGGACATTTAAACATGTTAATAATAAAGTGCAAGTTTCTGTTTGCTTCTTATACTGACAACAAACATAAAATGTTGAATGTACAGAAAATGATTATTTTTTAATTGGATGTTAGCACTCCTATGTTCTAAGAATGGAAACATTGATAATTTAATGATAAATTTAAGCTGAAACAAAAACAAAATAGTACGTGGAATTCCAACAGATGCAAACTAGAACAAACCAGTTGTGTATATTAACCCTGATGAATCTGCAAAGGCAGAAAGTTGGTTAAAGTAAAAAATTCTTTTATATATATATATATCTGGAATATAAAGGTTGTTTTTTCTAAACTTTTTATCAACTTAGAACCAATGAGTTTACAATGTTAGGCATGATACTTGTTAGTGTACCTGAAATCTGCTGAGAAGCTGTAGTAAAGGAAACACAAAATTTTCTGTTAGTTGTTAGATGATTGAAAATAGGAGCTGATCTTCTATGTGAATTTATGACAGTTAGAAAACAGTAGGTATTAATATATACTAGATGTATAAATTTTACAGGCACAATATTTTAATTATTTGTTTCTAATGGACACCAGTAAAGTGTTCTTGTTATAGACTTAAAATTGTTATGATTTCTTTAAAAAAATGAAAAGAACTAATACATTCATAGCATAAAATGTATAAAAACAATGAAACTATACTTTAAACTGTATACATCCTCACTGATCTCCAAAATCTAATGTAGTATTTCATACCACTAAGGTCATTACATCGAGTGGGAAATTTGTTTGAAAATGTAAAAAAAATCATTATTTCAGTTTCAGAAAAAAATTATTTTGTTCATATTAAGGAAAAAAAGGAGTTATTAAAAAATCAACAAGTTTGAAGTTTATCATTGCAGGTAATGGCACATTTCTTTCTAACAAATATAATGAGATTGAAACTTGGTTTGATTTTTCATTGCAATAAATATGTATGTTTCTTTTACAAAATTATGATATCTAAATAAAAATGACAACATAAAATAGTCATGAAACGTGTCTGAAAAGTGGCTCTCATATAATGTGAACTTTGTTATATAACTTTGCCAAAACACTTCTACCGAAGACAGTGGTGTAGTTGTTCAGCAAATGTACGTGCCTAGAAATGGCACTATATTAACCAGTACTTGCTTGCTGCCAGAAGCAAGTTTTTTCTGAAGCGAGATGAAATGAATGGGAAGACAGTCCTCTCGAAGCCTGAAACTTATGTTAACCCTGGTACATGCCTGTTCCCAGGAGGAGATTTCTTCTGGTGAAGTGAAGTGATAAAACTGAAGTAGATTTAGTCCTGTAACTGCCTAACAGATAGCTCTCTGTGTTTGTCCTTCATTAAAGAAAAACAATATCTCTATTTAATCAAACTGTTCTTCATTCTAATCACATTAACATGTAATAAAGAAATCCATATTACAATAGGTGTCCAATAATTTTGGAAACACTTTTGAAAAATCATGTCGGGAAAACCATTTATTGGAGACGCACAGTTTTTTTGCATGTGTAAGAATAATGCTTGATGGTTTTTTACGGCACTGATAAAAAAATCCCTGAGCATTAGGTGCCTGAGAAATACAGGATTTCATTCTGAAGCCAAATAGTGAATATGAAGGGGAATGTGAAATGCGTGTTGTTGTTTACCAAGTTTAAATACCATACGTAAATGATGTTATCAACAGTACACCTACAAATAAGGTGATTTACAGACGGTTTCATCAGGTTAAGATAAGAAGAAGCACCCTATGCAAGATGAAACTTTCCACAGTTGGTGGATTGGATGGAGGAGAGCCAATCAGCTAGCCCCACATTCTCTGGGTATGTTTTGTTTTGAGCTTCATAAAAAACTTGGATTGCACTAATAAGGTTGTAAGTAAGGATAAATTGCATCAACGTATCCAAGAAACCTTCCTAAAGGTTATTTCTGCCATGTAGCAAAGAACTTGGTAGGAAGTTAGGTGAAGACTGGACATATTGCACTGGACAAACTGTGTGTATTTATGTTAAAAGGTTTCCCAGTATGGTTTTTTAAGAGTATTTCCAAAATGCTTGGATACCCTGTACAATAAAATCAAAAACATACTACAATAAGCATAGAGGCTAAGAGCCATCCACAGTTATAATAAAAAAGGAGAGATGGAAATAACAAGTAAGACTGTATTATGACACAAATATTCAAACCCATGCACTTTTCTACATCTGTATACTTTGTTTTTTATGTTCTACAACAATGAAGGATTGTGATATGATCACTGGAAATATAACTAACTATGATAAGAAATGCCAAATAAGCCTACAACACTCAAGCTGTCATTACTCATAATCTTTAAGTAATGCAGAACTTTCAAAACTGTCAGAAATTCAAGTTTACAAAATAAACATCAGTGATATGTGTGATATTACATCTGCATAAACTGATAATAATTTGTAACACGTCTTTCTTTACTGACCCTGTACATGTTCCAGTGAGAATATAATAAAATTTCAGCAATACATCTCTTAACTGTAAACCCAAATAGAGCCAGTAAAGAAACTTTTCTCTCATACTATTATTATTCTTATGTAATGTCACACATGCTGCCAATTTATAGATCACACTTTGCTGGCATAAGGAATTATACATCATAATAAAACATAAATAAATTAGTCTATTCAGAAATAAGTAGTTCTTTTAATCATTTTGAAGGAGGGGCCTTAATTTCATATGCTCAATGAATACAAAAAAACATTAATGTGTGTAGAATAAGCCTATCTGAAACTGCATATAATCTAAAACACTTTGAAACAATATTTTAGAAAACTGCAGGGCAAACTTTAATGTAAACCCCCATTTGAAAATCTGGTTAAAAACTAAATACAATATGAGGAACTCACTTGACATTAGGTGTATGGGATATGTTTAAATCTTCCAAATCCAGTTCTTCACTCAGTTTGGTAAAATCCCAAAGCTTTACACAATAGTCTAAGCCTCCTGAGAAGAAAACATATTTAACTTATTATTAGACAAATCCTGTTTTAATATTTTTAAAACAAGGTAAAAAAAGGGCCAGTTGTAGTACAATTTATTCATGAGAAGTGACTACCTGACTTCAATTTAAACTCTAGCTTTACAAATGAAAAATATGATAATTTTCCTAACTAAAAAAAACTTTCCACATGTTTTACCAACTGTAATTTATACTACACATCCAACTTATATATTCATTAAAACCTATAAAAGCCATGTTTTAATGTTGTTCTACTTGATATCATTTGTACAAGTTTAATTAAAAGATGCTTAGGGAACAGCTGCATCAGTTTTGAAGTACAAAGGTTATAAGTTATATGCTCATTATCTTCCTGACAAACAGCAGTAAGCAGTTAGAATGGTAACCCTCACGATCGGACCTGTGTCAGCATCTAGTTGACTGACAGCAGTGAGGAAGATGATACAAAGACTATTTTTGAATAACATTTATTTAAGAACTGAATAAATTTCCAGTTTAGTTTATAATTATGTAGAGTGGAAGCAAAGAAATTTTTTTTAACATAAATTCAGAATATGGTTCATTTATGATTACCAACACAGCATGATTAACTTTCACACACATAGACTTGATAAAAAAGTGTATATTCTATGAATCCTCCATAAAATTCTCCTACTTTACATTTGTATCACACACACAAAAAGGCATACCATAAATTTTTTACCTTTTTATTTTAATATAACCTGGTATGCTCATTAGAGAAATAGTTATTAGACTGCATCTTGTATACAAAAAAAGACAGCAGTTTTCTTCAATGGTAAATCATGTGTTATCTCAAGGTTACACCCTCTTTTATCTTCTAATGGGAACAACCAATTACGTGGATGCCACAATTCCCTCTAGGAAAGCCTTACATTACTACTTTACCTGCACATAATGTTTTCATAGTCTTGTAGAGGTTTTTCATCAACTATAGTCTGTAAAGAAACTCGATAGCCTAGAGCTAGTTCTCTACTAAAAGTTGCTGTCTTTCATGCTAGCAAATACACACGCTGTGTTTGTGTTTAATAGATTGTTTATTGCATTTCGTACATTTGCATTGAGTCTCTTTAATTCTCACAATCTCAGTCATATTTAAGAAATTCAGGATTACTCTAATAAATATCCTACTGAATCTCCTGTTATTGTTTTGGATCTAACTTTTTGGTGTTGAGGGGAAATCAGTTTTACTTGAAAATACTACACGTAGATCTTCTATTTAGGACATTATTAAGTAATTACAAAAAATAGTGTTTTAAAACACAGTAGCTGGATATTTAAATACTGCTCTGTATAACACAAAAGAACTTTAAGTAAAGGCACATCTTTGGAAATTTCTGTCATCTCATATCTGAGTAGATGAAAGTTTACAGCTCAAACTGGCAGTTCTCAGTTAACAATGATATGTGTTTTGCAACAATATTTGATCTATTTTTATAAAACAACACTATATTTTATCTAAAAATTAACTTATTATTCTGTCCAGCAACTTGATAATAAAATTAGATAACTATTTAAAAAGTTTACTCTGCTTATTATTTAATACATTGTCACAAAACAATTAGTTTATGAAATAAACAGTTAAGTTGTCCTAACAAGAATAAGACTATACATTCTGTCAGTTTTTTTGAGCATAATCTGTGGTGCAATCCACAAAAAAAAAATATAAAAATCTATTGCAAGATAAAAAAAATTGAGAATTTAGTATTCTTAATTAAAAAAAAAACATTTTTAAATGATTTTTTAGGTTATTTTACTTGCATATTCAAAATTAGAGAAAAAATTGAAATATACATATTTTGGCATAACTAATTATATATATATCACATAAAAATGATTAAAAAGGCAAGTAATAACCTCTCTTGTTAAAATAAAGTTTGTGCACTAACCTGATGCGAGAATTGTCCCATCTCGACTAAAACAAAGCGAATACAAAGCTTCTGAATGGTTGTTTAATTCTGCCACTAGGTGTCCAGTAGCTATATCCCAAACTAGTATCTTCTTGTCACCACCTAGAGAATAAAATGAATAATTTATCTAAGGATTAGTTGAACACAAAATATTAGGTATGTTTCGATAGAAAAAAATAATGAATAAAACAGAAACAAACAGATTGTGAAGAGGATAGTGAAGATTATTATTTTTACACTTATGCAATTTTCAAACAAATGTAAATCAATTTCATTTTATTCTGGTACAAGTTTATAGAAAACTTTGGCCCAACAGTGAAAAAGCTATATTACTTTAAGGAAGCTAAAGTGTGATATAATTCTTTAAGCTAGTTATATTTCAAGAAAGTAAAATATTGAAACACATAATTAAGAAACAGCAAAATGACTGGAAAATGCAATGAAGAAAAAAATGAATAAGACACATTTCTGACTATCGATGTCACAGTTACTACTGCATAAAAATTTGCAACTGTGAATAAAATACATTTACATAGGACAGAAACTATGGGAATTCACAGTAAATTTTGATTGAATTCCACATAAGGAAGTACACAATTAATTTTTAGATCTAGTTTGAGTAGCTATTGGATTTCTGAAACAATGTGTGACTCTGTTTCTGCTGCTTTACAAGCATACTCAAACTAGAAAATACAGGTAACCAAGTCAAATTTTGAAGGTCAAGCCAGGTCATTGACTTGGCTTGCCTAAACAATAAATATAAACAGAAAAAGACTAAACAGATTGGAGATAATGGGTTTTTGAAACTTACTAACAAGTTTGTTGAAAATCACATTCACAAGTTTCTAATGCATTGTTTTACACGTTGTTGTGAATTTAAGTATCAAATTTACAAGTTACTGCCATTCTTTGTTTTTGTTAATGTTACTCATGATTGTTTGAAGAATATAATGTTTACAAAAGCATTAAAACACGTGGCTCTTTATTTTTGTTTCAGAAATCGAACAATGACATCCCGAAAAAAAGTTTTACTGAAAGTTATTATTTTGGGTGATAGTGGGTATGTATGATGACAATTTATTTGTTACTATTTTATACTTGGTTTGGCTTGTTACATTTTGACTTAAACATTGTACTTTCTGTACAGTATTTTATCCTTCCTAGAAAATATGCTGAACAAAAGACATTAAAATGTAGCCTGTGAACACAACATGGTGACATTATCATGATAACAGTAACTTAATGGATTTTACAGCTACAAATTATTGGGCTTGAGTGTTGCATGACTAGAACATTCTAGTCATATAAAAAGTTATCATAAAGCCTACTTTTGCAATAATAAGTTGTTTTGATATTGATTTTAACTTTGATTCGTACTAATAGCCTTGTTCATACAAATACAACATGTTTAGAGTTTTGGAAGAAAAAGCTACTGCAGACAAAACTTAGTTTTATTATACTTTAAGTACATGTTAAAATATTTTTTTTAAATTTCATTATATCTTGAAGCACGTTAAAACTATCTAGAAAGTTTTTTTTCAAATTATTAAAATACATATAGGTGGTGTATTTTAATAAATAAATATTTACTTAATGTGATTCTTGTCGAGTTACTGATGATAGCTAAATTTACAAATATCCATTTGTTTTATGTTCAAGAGTGGGAAAGACATCTCTTATGAACCAGTATGTTAATAAAAAATTCAGCAATCAGTATAAGGCAACAATAGGTGCAGACTTCTTATCCAAAGAGCTAATGGTTGATGACAGACTTGTGACAATGCAGGTAGGTGTAAATGGTTACAGAGTAATCATAGAAGTTCATATTTGTTACTAAAAGTAAAGCTTTTTTTGCAACTTTTTGAATAAAAAAACTTTAATACTTGTTACAAAAAATAATCTTTGAGTCCAATGAAATAAATCTGGATATAAAACTAATGGCATAAATATTTCAGAAGACCTACTGATGTATCCCATAGGTTAGACTGAATCATGGATGGGAGCACCTTTAAAACTTATTTGTGTATCTTGTTTTATTATCAGGTTTTGCTTTATTTTCTAGTGGTGCAACTTCCGATTTCCCTGGAATTACGTGGGCTTGATATGTGTCCTGACATTGATTTCCATCAGTCATGAATGTATTTATGTTTAAATGGAATATGTGTGGCTTGCGGGTTCGAATCCCCGTCCTACCAAACATGCTTGCCCTTTCAGCTGTGGGGGCATTATAATGGTAAAAGAATAGCCCAAGAATTGGCAGCTGGTGGTGATAATTAGCTGCCTTTCCTCTAGTCTTTCAATGCTAAATTAGGGACAGCTAGCACAGAAAGCCCTTGTGTAGCTTTATGCAAAAAATCAAAACAAACCATACAACTATGTATGGCTTCATCCAACCCCTACATTAGGCTGGTTATCAGATTTAGGTGGGGGGATTATTTCTTGCATAGCAAAAGTGGTGTGGATTTTAAATTAAAATATAGATTTATGCATTTGTTAAGTATTATACACATATAATAGCAAATCCTCTGTAGTTGATGATTTTAAAAAATATGGCATCAAACCATCAAATCACCAGCTAAATAAACCTATTAACATTTCAGAATTTATTTTTATCTTGTTTGTAGTTACTTTCTTGATTTTTTTTTTTTCATGAAGCATTTTTCTAACTGATTATTTTGTTAACTTTCCATTCAGCCATCATTTTCAGCTCAGTGTCCTGATAAGTTTGAGAGGTTATAAAGCCAAAAACTGGGGTTCGATACTCGTGGTTGGCATTGCTCAGATAGCCTTTTTGTGTATCTTTGCACTTAAACACAATTTTGAAATTACCAGACTGAAACTGGATGTGCCCTGTGGATAACTCAGTAGCTGTATACTCCTTCTGTTATACTTATGTATTTATATGCAGAGAAAATGAATACAATAATATTTATACAAGAAGTGCTACTTTTGTTGATATAGTGGAATTGACGATTTCGTTGAACTTAAATGTTGTCGTAGTTCTCTCTGTCTGATCTACCTTAAGCCCATCATGAAGAGCTCAGAAAACTCCCAATCTCTACCCATTTTATCTGATGTACTTTCTGTGTGTGTGACGTGTTGTTTTCTCAAAGTGAACATTTTCCTATTTTGACAGGGACCTAATTTTGTTGTTACAATGAGAATAATTCTCATTCTTGTCGTTACCTTACTTAAAGTTTAAGACTACATTACGGTCATGTGATCTTATATTTGATCAAAGTGGTGCTAAAGAGTGAAGGACTAAGTGTGTAAGTCTTACAATACGGTTGTTACTCATATGTATCAATGTTTGTGCAACAGTTGCTAAGATGTTTGGAATTTGTAAAGTAAGACTTCGTCTTAAAACGGTCCAGAATAACCTTCCATTGAGAAGGGTTGAAATTAGCATTTACAATGTACTTTGTCTGTTGAGTTGAGTTATAATATTGCATTGGATACTTCAACAGGTCAGGTCAAGATGAGAGAGAGGTGTTTAAAGTATTTCCAGTCTTATTGCATTGTTTCATCTCACTCTCTACCCTAAATTACCATTACTTCATCATACAAATTAGTGTTTTGGTGAAGGTGAACACTTGTTGAGACTTTGGTTAATTTTGATAATAATATATATATATATATATATATTAATAGTATAAATACAAGTTTAAAACTACTATTATATTACATTTTGGTCAGAATGTATTTATTTTGTTAATTTTTCTTTTGAATGTTCATATCTGTCCTTTGCCTTTTTTTCTTATCTTATCAACATGTAGATATGGGATACAGCTGGACAAGAGAGGTTTCAGTCCTTAGGTGTGGCTTTCTATAGAGGAGCAGACTGTTGTGTGCTTGTGTTTGATGTGTCTGCTCCAAATTCATTCAAATCATTAGATTCGTGGAGGGATGAGTTCCTTATTCAAGCTTCTCCCAGGAATCCTGAAAATTTTCCTTTTGTTGTGATTGGAAATAAAATAGACCTGGAAAACAGAACGGTAACAGTTGACTCGTAAATTTTCTGTAGATATCAGTTAATTAAATAAATTGTTTTGATATCTTTAAACTATTTATAGCTGGAAATAATGGATACTACAGCTTTATAACTTTCTTCTCTTTATTGTTGTTTTACAATACAAACATATAATCTCAGTGAAACAACAAAGATGGTAGTTACAGCACTGTCCCCTCCACCCCCCAAAAAAAGAGAAAAAATTTGGTAATAATGAAACCCAAATTAAGAAGAAAAGCAAATGTGAGCACTTAATCTACAAACAGTGCATAGATTGCATTATATGAAAATTAGTAAGACTAGCAGAAAAACAGCCCTATGGGCAGTTGTTTGTGCTATTAACTAATCGTACTATTCATACCTCATTGAAAAAAAATTAGAAAAAAGTGAAGATTTTTTAAAAAAAGGATTTTTTTCCTCAGAAGTACTCCACAGGAAAATTGTTCAAATTGTGTTCTTTAGGTATATGCAACTCATTGCATCAAAATGATTCAATGTACAGAGCTCAAAATTTTCATACATTTTACTCGTATAAACTGTAATGGTTTTATATATTAAAAGTGCTACCCTTTATTGAAAAAATGTATTTTTTTTAAGAACTCCAGTTTCTCAGTACTTCATTTAAAACTTATGTCAATAAAGATACAACCCTCTTGTATAGTCCTAGTGAAAGTCGTGTTCTTGATGTACGGAGATTACTTTTATTTAAAATTGTGTTTTATTATAAAGAAATGGTCGTTGCACGTACCATAGTTATTTTTCTAATTGTTTGAATCTTGAGTACCCAAAGTGTGAATTTTTTTATGAATTTTTGTGTATGGTGCCATTCAATAGATGGTGCAGGAGTTTTGGTTACATACATAGATAATGACATACAAGCTATGTACATTATAGTAAGATGTAAAAAACTAAAATTGCTTAATGAAAAGCTGATTACCATCAAGTGACACTAAATTACTATTCCTCTTCATAAGATGACTCATTAGAAAATAATTAAAAGCTTGTATGTTAAAACTAAAAGAAATAATGTAAACATTATTATTCTTAACAGGGGTTATCCTGTTTATTTTTGCCTTGCTTTTAACCATTAGTAGTTTTGTTACTATGAGTAACAGTGTGGTAATTTTGCTACATTTATTATACATTGGGTAGGCAAACATCAGACTGATAGTTCTAATTATAAAATGTGAAAAATTCAAATTCAACCACACTTGACTACAAATATATTTTTTATAATTGTACTTAAACATAGAAAATATATCTAGCATAAATATAAAACTTGTCAAATCCAACTATTACTAAATACATGGCAGATTAAATACATATTTCGTGATTAGATTAGGTGGGTAAAAAGCTACAAATTTGAAATTTATTTGTGGTTATTTCAGAAGAACTTAAAAGCAGAAAACTTATTTATTAATGATATTAAATAATATATATAATTGAGGTTGTGAATATAAACATTTTATGGGCAAATTTAATTGTACTATTTAGTTGTATGTTTACCACTATTTTAAATGCTTTTGTATGAATTTATATAGTCTTTTTTTATTAGGAATTCTAGTTATGTTCAGCTGTTAGTTATTTTTATAGACAGGGTTAACCTGTAGGTTGTGAACTAAAGGGTCCAGGGTTTGAAGTTTGATGCTGCTGGACACTTTCAGCTGTGGGTATGTTATAAAAATAACAGTCAATTCCATTAATTGATTAAAAAACTGGACAAAACCCTTGTGGAGGTTGATGCTGCCAGCTTTTGGTCATTAGTTCCGAATCAGAGATTGCTGTATCTGAATACTAAGGAGTCTGTGACCTGTATGCTGTTTAGTCCTTAATTCACTTGGTGCCATTCAGGTTGAAAAGATCAACTTCTCTGATTTGAGCTTGTCCAGTGGGTTCATTTGGTTATTCAATATAGTATTCATATTTACACACTTACTGCAGATAACGAATGAAATAGTTTATCCCCGATAAGATATGTGAAAATAAAAAAAAACAAAGTTTTTGTGTATGTTTTAGGCACAGCATCTCATTTCACAGATATACCTGTGACTTAATTACACACTACTGACTGACTTCACACGTCGCGTGGTTAACAACAATTTCTTTGGATGTTAGTAGTGTATTTTGATGTTTCAGGACTGAAGTCACTAATTTTAACTATCGTGAATTGGTAAGGCACTTATTTATTCAGGTAGTTATAAACCACATTTTAGTTTAAGCTAATGCATCATGAAAAAGTTGGATTATTAGTGAAATCAATTTTGGTTGCAGGTATCGACAAAGAGAGCCCAAGGATGGTGCCAGACAAAAAACAACATTCCTTATTTTGAGACCAGTGCTAAGGAAGCCATCAATGTGGAGCAAGCCTTTCAAACAGTTGCAAAGGATGCACTAGCTCAGGAGTCCCAAGCTGACCTTTATAATGAATTTCCAGATCAGATTAAGTTGACCAGTCAACAGAAGACACAATCTGAGGGATGTTCTTGTTGAATTATATAGTGTAACGTTTCAGTAATTTTCATTATTAAGGACTGGCAAAGCAGAATTACTTTATATATTATGTTTTAGAAATTCTTACACAGTTGTTTAAAGTGTACAAAGTATTATTTCAGCACCTTTATTAGAAAAGATTAGCTAAGAAGAATTACCTTGTAATTTAGTTTTGTGAAATGTAAACACTTAAGTTCATAATTTAATGTGTCACAGTGCAGTTGCCATAAAACTTGTATAATTGTCTTGGGTATAACAAAAAAAAAAACGACTTCATACTTTTAATATTAGTAAGTCATATTACATTTCAATGTTGCAACTACCAAGATTGACTTAAAAATATACTCACTTAACATATAAATAACAAGTTAATACAAACACTAATGTTACTTTTAATTTTTTTGATCAACAAGGTTAAACAAACATTGTGATAAGTTATAAAAAAAGTAATACGGCTTTTGATTATATACTTTACTGTGTATAATGGTAAGTATTCAATGAAATTATTGTTTTAAAAATTTGAAGCTTACATATAATGTTTTAAACACTGAAATGTAACTGCATATAAGAATTCACACTTGAGGGAATGATACAGGTGAACTTGTTTTCCAGTGTTAATAACAGTCCCAAGTGCCTGACATGACATACACTTGGCTTTGGCTAACACTTGTAAATTTGTGACACAAGTAAAATGATTATAACCAACATGATTTTGTAAAGCAGTTGATGTGTGTAGAGTAAATGCCACAGCTTTTGTATTCTGGTAAAAATAAAAAAGCACATTTTACATAGAGCTCATGCAGAATATTTGTCATGTGTAGCTTTAATTACTAATGAAAAAGCTGGTTCCTATTGATTTATGCTTTTGCAGACTGTTGCAGTTTTTAGGGTAAAAACTCGTCATCTCTCAGCTAGTAACATTTAGGTATGCCACCAAAAAAAATTATTGTAGGGGTTGTTCACAGTAGCAGTAGTTGTTTTAAATCCTGTGTATGTAAGTGGTATTTCATAATACACGTGTTTGAGGTTATATACTAAATATGTCTTTCTTGATGTATTGTTTTGATGGTACATAACAGGTATTACATCTTCATATATTAGTTAGTAAAATTGTAATTGAAGAAAAAATAGTACTACCTACACTTTATCTCTCTTTTTTTTTCTTCTAAATGTTTAGTTTAATTTGGATATAATCATACATTTCTGCTAAAGTTAAAAGTTTCAGAGAAAGGTTTTCTGCAAACTTGTTGCTATAAGTTGTAAATGTATAACTGTGATTAATGATGTTATCTCATGTCTGTATTACTGAGTTATGTGATAAGTTTGTAAAGATTACTGGTTTGAAGTTTTATGGAGTTGTTTTATTTTAGTTAAATGATTCTTGACTTAGGTTCTAGCATGAAGTAGATAAAATAAAGTATGCTTCACGAATCTTTATTTCACAACAGGTGATTCTGTTATAAAAAACTGAGCTAATAATTTATCTCTAACACAATCTTTACAGTCCAGTTGAAGAACACTTTCAGTGAAAGACTACTCTGAAAAAAAAAAGATTATTGTGCTTTGTGAATGCTGTCTATTTTTAGATGCTGAATATTAATAAACAGAAATTTCAAAACAGATAGATTTAAGCATTGAAACAAAAATTGGAATAATAAACATTGCTTGGTGGAAAAAATTATAAGAAATTTGTTGTGTTTTCTAGATATTTGGGATATTGTTTCTGTGAATGTGTCTTGATTAGGTGTGTTATCATCCCAGAGTAATGAATCTAAGTGGGTTGTTAAGAATCTCAATCTATCAAGTCTGAGTTAATGAAATTCTTAAATAATATGTTTTTTTAAAAGTCCTTTACTCTTCAAACCCCCTGCTTACCACAGAGGTTTATTTAGTACTCCTACTTTAGCTGCTCACAGGAGCCATGTAAGTGTACTTTGATAAGGGTTTTCACACTGAATCCAACGGTATATGGTTTTTAGGGCTTTTCTTCAATAAGTCAGTCAAATACAAGATTTTTGATATTTGGTTGTGGAAATAAATATTGTCTTAACAATTTGCTTACCAAGTGATTAGGTTGTAAGACTCGCAATGATGTAACGTTGGTTACATATCTCAGTTATAATGAAAGAATACTACTTTGTATGATATATGAACCTAATGGGAAAGGGTGCATATCAAGATCACTAACACTGAACTAAAAAGGTACCTATGCCATTTGTACGAAGTGCATTTAACTGTGCTATTATTCCCCACTAGATGTTAGGCACAAGGCTACACAGTAGACTATTTGTGCTTTGCCCACCATGGACATCAAACACAGATTTTTAGTTGAGCCACGGGGGGTTGGAATTGGTAGAAGTAATTCAAGCTCATTCTTGTCTTTTGAGGAACCAGATTGTACAAGCTGAAAGAAACATATCCGTATTCTTGCATGGGACCTTTTAACAGAATGAGGACATTAGTGTTGCTACCTATCTGTACATGAACAAGTAGCTGTTATTTGTCAAATCAGTGATGGTTGTAGCCACTTTTTGTTAGTTTATGGTCCCTTCCACATTTCATGATGTTTTTGTTTGTAATTAAGCACAAAGCTACACAATGGGCTATCCGTGCTCTGCCCACCATGGATATCGAAACCCGGTTTTTAGTGTTGTAAGTCTGCAGACATACCGCTGTGCCACTGGGGGGCTTCATGATGATGCTGAAAGAAATTCTGATTTGAATACAGTTTAGGATGGAGAATATAGGAATACATTGGATCTCCTTCAAAAACTTGGTATGAAAACATAGATGCCATAGAGAGAAATACAGCATTTTGAGGCTTATCACAAAAGTATCTTGCAGCTGGTACAGACAATAAATGTCCACATGAAATGTGCAAGCTACTGGATATGGTACTGCTAACCAACATATTCTTTTTATAAGGGAATTATACGAGACTTCTCAGTGCTCTCTGCATCTGTTATAGGCTTACTTTCATATAAAACACAATCTTACGCTCCACACTACCGTTTTATCCGAACAACTGTTAGCAAGTCTCGGTCTTGTGATCCACACTACTGTTATCCAAACAACTGTTAGCAGGTCTTGGTCTCATGCTCCACACTACTGTTATCCAAACAACTGT